GGGGGGGGGGGGGGGGTTGGCTGCTAGAAGAATTACTTTTTATTGCTATTCAGTAAATAACTATTTGAGAAAGGTAAATTAATAGAACTAGCAGTTGCAGGCAAGCCAGGAGATAAGCACATTCTGATAATTAGCACAATATGTTCAGTGAGTTGTCAGGAACATAGATAAATTGGGGAGGGGTGCAAGGAGAGACTAAAGAGGAAAGGGAGGAAAGCAGTAAGAAAGCCTAGAGTTAGAAAATGTGAGCTGCTGAATGCCAATAATGTTAATTAATAGTTGTAGCCAAACAGAGAGTTTCCTGGTAACAGAATTTGTTCTTCTCAAGTCAAGAGAAATACAGTATTTTCAGGTGATCTCTGTTGTTCAGAGATCTCCTTCCCTGGGGTTGCCAGCTGTGTTTTGATAGCCAGATTGGGTACGAAATTTCTGCAGTGGCAGATTCTGACATCTTTCCTCCCTGTCAAAACAGCTCAGCAGCCATCAGTTCCTTTGCTTGTCAAGAGGATTTTTTTGCTCCTTGGCAAAGTGCCTGCTGTGTATTTATTCCCTTTGTTTGGATTTTTTTCTTTTCAGTGATGTTTTCTGCACACAAGGATTCTCACCCTCTCAAGGAAAACCATAGTTAAGAGCTATCATGCCACTCCTAGAAGTGAATTCTAAAGCCTGATGATCATCTGTCACCCCACAGCCCATACATTTTCCTTCCTCACTAGTGGGGTGGAGCAAGAGAAGTCAGCAGCAAGGACAAGCAACGATTTAATATTTCTCTGCAATTTCTGTGTCACCATTGCTGTGGGGCAGAGAGCCCCCTGCGGCCACCTTTTTTGTAGCCTTTTCTTCACTCAAGTAAGTCGCTAACAAAGATGACTGGGAAACCCAAGGCTCTATTTTAATTCTCAACAATCCATGAAGTGCACAGGGCACAATGGTACACTGCTCAGTGAAACCACCTAGTTTTTCACAGAGTACTGTGTGTGGTTTGTAATTTTGTAATGCTGCAGTTTTCTAAGTGGTGTTTTAGTACTGAAACAAAGAGAATACTGTTTTCATGTGCTAAAATGAAGTGATTCTATTTATTAATGACATTCCTAAATTATTTTATTTGCAGGGGAGATCAAATCTCCAGCTACCTACCACCATTTTTCAATTTTTAATATTTTGTCTTCTCAGAGCAAACATGTTTGGTGATCTTGGAAGCATTGTTTTATGTAAAATAACAGCCTATGCAAGAGCAGGCTTGGAACACCCAATTCTCAATTATCTATGATTAGACTATCTACGTTGCAGATTATCTGTGTCACAAATGTAAAACCAACCACCCTGCATCCAGCATAGGTACTAGCTGAGGCTCACCACTGTACAAATGTCTCTTGCAAGACTGTGTCTGGCCTGGAAACAATACATACACCTTCATACAGAGCCAGAGATCATAAATTCTGTGGAATCAACGTTGCCTCTAAGAAGAAACAGCTGAGGCTCCTCCTCACCGTATTCCCAGAAGCAGGAGTGACAGACAGTATACTGCAGTCACATCTCACCACTTCCCCTCAGAAACAACTCAAACCCAGCTGGGCTTCAGGCCAACTGCAGCCGACTTCATGTGGAGAGAGCTAAAATGATCCCCAGCATGTGGGATTATGGGAGGCCTTTTAGGTCAGGTGAATACGATACACATGCATGGATTCAGTTTGGATATCTGACTCAACAAACTCTCCAACAGGGAACTAAGGAGAAAGCACTGAAACATCAGCAGGAAGAAGCCTGGCCAGTTTCTGGAGGAAAGTATGGGAGCAGAATGAAAAGGCCAAAATGTCATAGGTGACACCATCAGTGAGGCATTTACACTGTAAAGTATTACTTGCAAAAGAAAACAGGAAACATTACCATTAGAAGTAGGATATTGAGAAGCATTCTGTCTTTGGCTCACCTCCAGCCTGACTGAGCTGGATGACACAGAGGATCCAGCTGAAGTTATAAGGTGACTATTTCTTAGTTGACTGTTACAGTGCTAACACAAAGCTTACAAGCACACCGGTTTTCTACAAACTACGATAAAACAATCGCCTCTTAGTGTAGAATTAGATTTTAGTGCTAGATAGTAGCTTTGCAGCTGATTATTTTGTAATATTATTATTGCACCATAAATGTGTTTAGCATTTTGGATTATTTTACAAGAATATAGCTTGCCATAGAAGAGCAAGCCAACTTCTAAGTGAACACAAGTATGTAATAGCTATCACTTTGCCTTTAACAGGTCATTAGAAATTCAAAACTAATTATTTTAATTCCTTGCAAACATTCAGGTAAGTTGCATAACTTCATAAATCCGTTAGCTTCAGGACTTCCATTTCTGTGTTTTGACTGCCCCATATAAGCAATACCAACAAAGTCAAACAAGCTGTTGGCCTGTTCCTATGTTGCAATCTTGTGTGATATTATATTCTCTAGTAATGCCAATTCTTTTTGGCCCAAAGAGTCAGCCAGCTTTCCACGTTTTTAAAGCTGTTTCCATTAGGAAAAGAAACTGAAGACATTTGATATGATCCCCTTTATTTATGAAAAATGGGCATAACATCCTGATTTATGGAGTACAACAAAATTCAGATAAGCAGGAACAATTTATTTACCTGTAGTTCCCAGACTCTCTGTAGGCACCTGTATTCTAAAAATCTTCCTTCCAGCATTTCTGATGTCACACAGACAGAATTACTGCAGCTTGCAGTTCACCTCCTCAATTCTGAAATTATTTCTAAATCCTCAGAAAACCAGCTGGACTATTTGACCCTCCTATTGTCTGCATCTGCATGTGACCAAGTGTGAGTACATTTTCTACCCGTTACCTAAATGAAAGTAAATTGTAAATTGGTTTTTGTGTGTTCTGAATGTAAAGTGGCTCTCATGGCCACTACTCTGAATAAAATGGTTGAACTGTCTAATGCCCAACACAGTAGCGTGCTCTTTAGACTTCATTTTTTCATATTGTCAAACAAATCCCTTTGGAATTGCACAGAATCTCTTAGCTTAGCCAGATATCACAGGCAATCCCATGTGGCCATCCACTGAAGCCAAGAGAATTACTGCAGGGATGGATTTGGCAGTACAGCATTTTGAACTGAGTTCCCTTAAGCAAGAAATCAGCACAAATGTACAAATCTGGCTGTGTTTGAAGGTTCTGTTTTGCAGCCATCTGTGCCGGCTTTTATTGTTAAACAGGAGTAAAACAAATTCAGGACTAAATGATACTCATTTATATATGCGTTTAGGTCAAAAAATACACATAATTAGGAAAGCTGAAAATAACTAGGAAAAGCTGTTTTGAATTATTAGAAAACCCAGAAAACATGTTTGAGTAAAACACTAAGCATCCAGCCTAAGATATGTTGACACTGCAAATTAACATCAGAATCCTAATATGATTTCTTAAGCTAAAAGATACAGTCAGCTGAAGGCAGTTTGCTGTGTGTTGATTTCTCAGACAAAACATCAGAGCTGAAATGTTGCCTCCTTTGTAAAATCCTGTATAATTTTTTAGAAGAAGTAATGTCCCTGATTACTGTTTGCCAAATCAATGAGTAATTACATGGTGAAACATATTGCTACAGAAACCCACTGAGGTCAAGAACTGAGTAAATTCTAAAAATGTACATGAATAAAAAAACTACCGGGAGCTGTGGTTGTTCACAATAATTCTGGAAGCCTTATTACATGTCATGCTTCAAATTTAAGAAAATCTGTTACTGTTACAGTTTAGAATAAAATCTTTTAAAATGGGGACAGGCTGTCTCCTGTTACCAGCAGCCAGTACTGCGTTCAAGGACCTACCTGATCGTGCTGTAGCTGTAGAAAGATACTGACCCAGTCTGATCTCAAGTTTGATCCAGAATAGTATTTTCTACATATCAACCTCTGAGCTTCCTGTGACATCCCTGCTGTTTGGGAGCTGAAGAAAGCAGGGTGCATGCCAATTTCAGTTACTTTTTTTGCCATTTTGCTTTATTAGTAACAACCATTTTAAGGATAAGGCACATAAATAATAACACAAGTTTATAGATTTTTTTTCTCAACACACCAACTCAACTATGTTTTGATTTGTGCAATCAGAGGGGTTTTTTTAAATGCAGCTTTGCTCAAGAACTTGATCCACATTCTGCTTTCGCTTCTATTTGGGACCAGCTTCTGATCTAGGCAGGGAAACACAGTGAGGGTTTAAGCACTGAAGTGCTCTCAAATTCAGGCAAGATCAATAATCCTGTTAATTAGCAGTATTATTTCTGCTTTTTTAACATTCTTTAAATTGTGAGGAATGACACAAGTGACAGCTACATACTCACCAGGCTGTGGAGCAATCACCACTGCAAAAGTAGTTCCAAGCAGTCACTAACCATTCTCACTGCCAAGTCTCCCTGTGCCTCCAGTATGCTCTGGCATAGAGCAGTTACTCTGAAACAGCATGTGTAACCCAGGAGTAAGCTCTTGTTACATCTGGAGTTGTGGATGATGAGCAGCTAACACCAGCCAGCTGATGGACAGTGACTTACTGTTGTCCAGGTCAGCAATTCCTGCCTCTCCACCGTCACTCTCCCCACTGTAGAAGCCTGGTCAGAGCCACCTTTTCCAAGACTCTGGAAGCAAGACAAGGCAGGAAATATGATATGGATGGAGTGGAGGCATATAAGGGAACAAAAGTGGCTTCTTTTTGTAGAAATGAGGGAGGCAAGTTAAAATTTGGGGCTTCAATATGTGATGTATGGACACAGGTACAGAAGTGGCATAAAATGGCAGGTATGGAAGCACAGATCTTCCTGCACATCCATGCAGACCAGTCTGGGGACAGAAGTTTGATGCTATTAGTTGCAACAAAGGCTTGCCCCTATCTCATGGTTTAAGACTGGGAACTCCTACTCTGTATCAGTCTGTTTTGTTGTCATAGAATCTACACTAGGATGGGTAACAAGCAAGTTAAACTTTACACCCAGGAAGTTAATCACATGCTGTTACCAATCAACACACCCCTACAATGGAAGAAGGCTCAGAGCCATAAACTCCTGCCATAAAACCTGTGACAGAATTAGTCAATTAGAGCAACAGGGTACAATAGAAAAACTCACTCACCATTTAACAGCCCAGTAAGGCCTTTTAAGAAACCAGTCAGGATATGGCACATGACTATTGACTGTAGGTCTTTCAATTAAAGCAACTGTCCCTTTAACAGCCTCTGTTCCCATCATAGCAGATACTAACATGCTCTTCTGTGGGTAGGAGTGTTAGCTGCAAAAGATACGGTCTTTATGATCCTGATACAAGACCAAGTCAAACCACAGTTGGCAATTACTTGGGGTGGAAGACGATACACCTTTTATCGCCTACCCCAAGGTTTTAACAGTGGCCACACCTTTGCCCATGCCATGTTAGCTAAACAGCTAGAATCAGTCATCCTCCCACCTGAAGTAAGAGTTTCGCAATATACAAATGATACTCTTAATTGGAAGACATGATGAGGAGATGGTTCACTAAAGCATGAATGCTATAGTCCATCATTTACAAGAATTAAATATTAGTGTTCCTGATTTGAAATAACAAGGACCAAGTCAAGAAGTTATATTTTTAGGTACGTGATGGATAGGAGAGAAAACTGTTCCAGAATCTGTATTATCAGAGATACAAAGCATTCAATCACCTTCTGAGAAAAAGGAATTACAAGTTTTATTAGGAACTTTTGGGCTTTGGAGGTCATGTATTCCTGGATTCAGTATTTTAGGGGGATCTCTACAATTTGCTGAAGAAAAACGCAATATGGAATTGGAAACAAAGTCATCACCAAACATTAAATGCTTTAAATTAAGACATTTTACTAACCAATCTATAGGACTCCTTAACCCTGCACACCCCAGTGCACTTCATATAGGCATAGTTTATGAGGGATATCAATGGGGATTATGGCAACAAGATGTGCAAGGTAAAAAAGCTTATCTATTATGTTTTGCTCTAAATCATGGCAAGGCTCCCAACTGCCCTCCATTTGAGAAAGTTCTGTTAGCTGCATATGAGGGTCTGCTACCTACTGAGACATTAATTCAAGAAAGGGAAATCAAGTTACATATACCCATTCCTATTTTAAAACCAATTTTAACTGGTAAGCCATTACCCTTAATAGTAGCCCAGAAAACTGCTCTACAGCAATGGAATTTGTATATACTGCACCAGGTGACAAGTGACGGGATGAATAAAGAAAATAAATGATCAGAGAGTGTACAGCGAATAGGGATGCCTATTGAATACTCCTATCTGCCCTCCTCTCCAATAACCAGTGTGCTGTCCTGGGAAAGCAAGACAGAAAAGTTTGGTTCACACCAGATAGAAAACTGGGTGAAAAACAATCAGCAAGTAAATGGTAGAGACGTATGGGGAAAAACACACTGTAGGCAGACCAATCTAAGTGCATATCCATAGGACCTGTATCTGTCCACCCACCAGAAATCGTGAGGCAAAGTGGAATCAAATGGCTGATCATTTAGCTAAAATAAATGTATTGCAAAACTAGAAAGGCTAGTAAGTGGGTACAGGAATGGCTAGGACACACTGGGAATTATGATTTATTTCAACGGGCTGCAAGGAGAGGATGGCCTGTGACAAAAGCTCTGGCAATACCTACTGTAGACACATGCTATTTTTTTCAAACAACGGTAAAGTACCTGTCAAAATGACAACAGTTTGCCAGTCTCAGGGAAGGTAAACTACTCTGAGAAACTCATCACGTAGATTATATTGGTCCTTTGAAATGAACACCTGAAGGCTGGAAATACATCCCCACAGGAGTAGAAACTGTGGTGTAGGGAATGTGCACCACACCCAAGCTGCAGCTGGTCCAGCAGTCATTGCTGATTTAAACCCGTGGTTTGCTACTTTTCCCTTGCCCAGAGAAATACAATCTGATAATGGATCACATTTTTAAAATAACGTTTTACAAAGGAAAAGGAGTACAGGATTCTGTAGACACTACAGGGAGTAAGTTAACAATAACTGTGGCTTGGATTATGTCTGAGACCTAGATGTCTTTAGCAGGAAAACCCAACTTTGAAACTAGTTACAAGAATACTGTCTGCATTAGCACAAGGTCAGGGACTGATAGTACAGGATAATGTTACAGTAATCCTAAGATCTAAAATTAACCTGACATTATGTAATATTGTATAGGAAATTGCAAATTATTTTAACAATAAAATGAAGTGGGTACTACAGACATATAAGGCAACTAATTATACTTCAATGGCTCATAAGAATTATGCTTGAATTGTCAACAGCGAGAACAACATAGTAACATACATAATTTTTTCCATGAACACTGCTAATAATCAATAGGAAGTTGATGTAAATGTACAAAATTAAGATACCACTTGTTCCTGATTACCTTCCAAAGCAATCAAAACAACCTCTTAACAAAGGTACTCCTTTACTTAACGCAGCTGCATGATGGATGAGATCCCATGATTATGGCTCCAAAATTAATGACAATGAGCATACATCTGAACTTAACCAACGTAAGCACTAGTACATGGAACGAGACTTGTGCTGAATAGTGTCCCTCTGTGATTCATGGCTACAAAATCATTCACCAACAGGACACAGAACTAAAAGAGGTATCATGCAAACTTTGCTGGGTGGAATGGGTACAGGATCAGGAATATAGAATTCATTTGATGCTGACACTCTAGCAAATAAATTACCAATATTGGAAGAAATGAAAGCTGGTGTAACCAAATGACTGCAAGCTAGTTACCAACAGCTTTATAAACTTCCATACCAGACTGGCAAAGTACTTGACACATTTAGCGACACACTAATGTATCACTGTGGTCCCCATTACTAACCAGAAAAACCATACCACAAGAAGACAGCTCTGCTTTATCTTGTATTTGATTTCAATTAACTGGTATATATTAGGTTAATCAGATTTGGGTAGCCATTGGAAATAATCAAAGACAAGCCTTAGAACCAATGTTCCCTGACTGTGAAAGACAAATTCAAAGGACAATAGCTTAAAACTACTGAGGGTCCTTATTATAATGCAGCTACAGAGGAGTTAACATTCCAGTTGCTAGGAATTGGACAGATAAGTGCTACTCATACAAAAATCACACCCTTATGCCAATTTGCTGTCACTCCTTAAGTCTGGAAAATGTGGATACCTATAGTACCAGAAAATTGTTTGCATTGTAATACATATGAAATTTATGAAATTAGTAAACACTACAACTGCTGGCTATCAGGCTGACTTGCCCTACCATGCCCAGAGCTCCAGAATTATGCAGGATGAAACACTCCTCTGGTATCTGCATCTGGCAGCATGTCTACAGTAATGAGATATGAGTATATGGCAGTGTTCTCAGATGTGTGTCTGTATCCACCTTCAATACCATCCACTTTGAAGATGATGTAAATTCTGGACATGGCACCATTTGCTGCTGTAATATGACATATATTTTTGACCAAATAACTGATCAGATCAGATTTACAGGTTAACTTCTTGTTGACTGAACAAATGATGTCTTATTTCACACCATTTAAGATACACTAACACAAAGTGACCTTCAATCCACAAGATGACTTTCTCAAAATGTCAAGGGTACCCAACATCTGTCTGAAATTGAAAAATACTGAGATGAAAGACAAGTAAAAATGGTATATGATAATAATGAACTGATTCAATTAGTGAAAGTGGAAACCAGCCTTACTAAACACCATTGGTATGACATCTTTAAAGGTTTGTCACCAAAACTGCCAATGTATTGAAACTAATGTTAAATTTTATGCTTGTACTGTTAATAATCATTGTATTGTTATTTGTTGTAACCTTCGTATTGACCTGTTACCTTAAAAATCAAATAGTACGTGTTATTAACTCAAGTTAAATCACATACTAAATCTGTAAACAACTGGTTTCCCATATGCTCTCACCCTCATCATGTGCAGGCAAAAGAGCTGGTAATTAGTATGAGGAATGTATTAAGCTCACTGTGCAACACCAATAATTGCTGAATGCTGGGCTAAGCCAAGGGGCAGAATGGAACCAACCTACACCCCCTACAATGAATCAAGACTCAGAGAAGATGAGAAAAAAAATATGTCAGCGAAGACTGTAAAGAATTACCACCAACTATCCTAAAGCTGAACTTACCTCAACACCAAGGGGACTGGAGGGTAACCTTTGTTTTAGATACATGTCTGTACCAGTGGGTGATCACACTGTGTAAACAACCTTCCCCAAGATAACTGCTAGAGAATAATGTCTTGCTGAGCTAGCCAGACCAACATGGTATGGGAGAAATACATACGTGGCTCAGTCAAAAACAGTATAGAAACTGAACAACCAACACCATGCATTTTGGAGAGAGCAACAGGCCTGAGTGGACTTCAACCCACATACTCCTTCCTGGTGACTATGGGTGCCCAGCATCGTGACAGTGAGCATACAGACTCATAACAAGAATTAAGTTTTTATTGTGATTCATCTGTATATTGCAATTCCTATTCTATCCTTGCATTGTGATTTCAGGACATTGCTGTATCACTCTTCTAAATCAAAAGCCCATGTAACACTGAATATATCAAATAAATCTGATATTAAACATAAAACTCCCATGCAAAGTATCTAAAAGAACCTGGTCAGAGAGTATTGGATTCTGACACATATGAAAACATCAAGCAAGATTAAATGGAGGAATAAAACCTTTCTTGTAACTGGGAAATAACTGAAAGGGTGATGACTCCTTTTGTTCTTGTACTAAATCAATTAGGATAAGACTTTTATTGTGGTGGTAAGCAGTATTTCATATCATCAAATCCAGTTGACAGTAATCTAAATGGCAGTTTGTGCTCAGTGTCTTTTCCTAGCAAGAATTAGATTTGCAAATGCCACTTAATGGAGAAAATATAATGTAGAGTATTTTCTAGCTACAGGTACAGCTCAGTGAAATCAGTCATCCTCCTAAGTGTCTAGATTCCAGGTGCTACCAGATTTTCCAGCAACTGGTAAGACTCTACAAAACTTCATGGAATGCTGGACAATTTGCTCATCTTAAGTGCTCCACTGCAATACCTGACAGTATCACAACCACTTAGATTAACCACTTTCCTAACTCACTTCAAACTTTTCAAAAGCAAAGCAATAAGGTCTTTCTGAGGAAACCTTTTCACCTAAAAATAAATTTGCACCAGTTAAAGAGAAAATAATGTATATTATTACTTGATGTACTAATATAACACTCATGTTGTGCATTTTTTCTTGGCTGACCCAAAAGTCAATTACTGAGTTTATCTGACATCAGCTTTTATATAAATAGAAAGTAAAACCAAACAAACAAACAAAAGAGCATCATTTTAGTAACTTTAATAGCTTTGCCAAACTTTAATCACTTGGGCTGAAAATTTCCATGATGATTGTCTGTCCTGGCCTGTACAAACTTCATTCAAAATTGTTCATAATAATACTCTAATAATAACAGCTATAGAAAAGACCATATAGAAATGAATCATTTTGTCTTTAGAATAGGGCTTGACTAGCTTGCAGTGAATACAGCACAGTCACACTCCAAACAAAGAGGCTAAAGCAAAATTCCAAATAGCTATTCACTAAATAGCACCATCTAACCTGAACGCTGAATAAGTGGTCCTGAAGAAAAAAATAGCACATCATGACGTTGTTCAAGGCTGTCATATAATGTAAACAACCAACTTCAATGCTTCCCAGCTTTTCCATTCTTGAACTTGCAACTGTAAAGAATTTGACTGTGTTTATGTGTGTACTCTTGCATGCATACATAAATGCAATAAATATACATGTCAAATAGAAGCAATGAGCCAAAACGGTGTAAGTTTTAAAAGAAATAATGCATTACCTGAAATGGGAAAATTTGAACTATTCTCCCAATATAAACATGTAGTTTCATATTGTTATTTGGCAGTACCATGCAGGCTCCATAAGATGGCAGACCTGCACATATCTAACAGATGCTGGTGTAATGACATCGCTGTAAATATATTGCTTTTAAAATGGTTGCTTTAAATGGATGGTTCATGTTTTTAGTCTGAATGTTTTGAATGTGATGTATTTAGAACCGTAACTCTGCTCACTACTCTGTATTACCTTTCCCATACTCACTGATGGCTTCGGACATGGCCTACATAAAGCACTCATAAAAAATTAAAATGTAGCATTATGACTCAGACCTGATTGATTTGAAATTACCTGAACTTGACCAGTGTAACTCTTTCTAATAAACCAATGTAATTGGTATTTATTCCCACTGATTCATTCTAGCAACTGGTGCTCAAAGTAAGCTAATTCTTAAAATACAATTGTTGTCCTCAACACACTAAAGTTCTTGAATATATCTTTTAAACAGCCTGATTTATAGGCGACTATTTGTGGCAACAATAATTTATTTGTGAACCCTGAAATTGGTATATTTATTTCTCATTGAACAATAATGTCACTTCTAAAAGCTTTTTTCAGGTTCTCTGGCATTAATGTAGTTCTATTATTTGTACAGTCATTATAGTAAATTAATAAAACAAATTGGCTTTATGACTAATATACAATGTTTAAGGCTGTTCTAGAGAATACTGTGTGATGCCTTTACCAGTGCTTTATACCCATTTCCTTTCCATTTGTTAAGACCTCAAGCTGTTTTAGACCTAAGATTTTCAAACGTGAATTTTTCAAAAATGCTATCGTACTTTAAATGATCAAGTAAGAAATGGAACGAGCTTGCAATCTCGCTTTTATGGTTTTTAGCAAACCCTCACTCATAAACGTTGTAATTATAATTACACAGGCATATAATTTTCCCATAAAGGTTTCATTGCACTTGTTCCACTTGGCTAGGTCTACAAGGAAAAGTGGCTAGATTGTTTTTAATATTTTGAAAGTATTTAGAAAAAAGACAGTAAGAAGTGTTCATGCCAGCAGGCAAGCAGTTTGTACTCAGTAAGGCTGTGAAAATTAAATCATGGTAATTTTAAAATAAAAAGTGTTCTACTTCCTAGTAAGCAAATGGAATAAAGGAAACAAATTACCATGGAATTTAACTCAAAATGCTTCCAATAGAAGATCAGAAATGTTATCCTGAAAACTGTAGTTAGGAAGAAAACTTTCGCTAGAGTCAAGAAATTGGGCCGTTATGTTCATATGCAAATTTTCAATTTTTTCATATGTAAACATGCTCTTTAATAATTGCTTAGCAGTGAAACCTTATTTAATATACTGACACATTTGCAGGCTTCTTGCTGAGTCACTCTTCAAGAATGGGATTTTGAAAAAGAGCAACGAAACCACTCCAATAACAGAAATACTGAAGAATTTAGATAATATTATGAGCGTCTGTAACCTACTTCTACGTTTAGACAGGTTATTGTATGTAGCTTTGAAGATGTGCCAGGAAGTTTTTGCTGGTTTGAAACTCCCATCATTTTTAAAGTGGTCCTGTAAGGCTCTTACTGGTGCAGAGAAGGCTTTGCTATTTGTTTGGTTCTAGTTTATCTATGGTTATTTCAATTAGAAACATAGAAATCCCACATGACTGGTTACGGCATGTCTGCGACTCCTTATGCAACAGGACTGCAGTGGGTTTGGGCCAGGCCCAAGGGGCCGGAGACACCCAACAATGTCCCGAAGTCCCAGATGGAAGTGGGCCAACCTCGCATGCCTCTCTGTACAGCTTTGCAGTTCGGTCTAATTTTGCAGAAGCATCTCTTTGTGTTGAAAGATTCTGCAGCATTTCAGCAAGATATTTAAGAGATCACTCATCACTTTATCGTGCATATCCTCCTCCAACTGTCACTCAAACTGTCACTTTGAGCAGCAGTCCAAGAAATGCTTCTCACACCACACTGGAAGGGCACAATGAGCAAATTTGTATTGCCACATTTGTATCTCTGTCACCCTGTGTGGTGGAATGAGAAAAGAGGTTTTGTCTTTCTGCTGCTTTCTGATACAGAAACCCAGCTCTAAAGAAGGAACTGACCGCCGAAAACCTTCCTCCCCGTTCTGGCTCATGAGCCAAACAATTGCTACTGCTGCAGGCTGTAGCACCATGAAGAGGCGGGAAATCCAGCGCTAGAGCTGCTGATACAGCCAGGAAGGGCCGAGAGCCCTATGGACCTCGCCAGCCTCCGCGGGCGCGCCCAGGGGGAGGCTGCGGGCGGCGTCCCCTGCCGCCA